ATGGAGAAAGAGACAAAGAATGAGACATTCATACATGTGATGTGAGCCCCGCCCATGGGGGAATGAACTCTGCAACCCAGATAGGGGCCATGATTACCAGAATCGAACCCGCAGCCTTCATTTCTGCCAATCAACACTCTCCCCGTGGAGCCACGCCATACAGGGTTCAAAATGTGTTTTTGAGCAACAGCTTACCTTTCCAATCGCCAGCAACAGCGCCGGGCGCGCTGCGCACTCTGGCCGCAAGGGGGAGCCCGCGTCCCCCGAGCCGGCTTCCTGGCGTGGGCGTGAGCGAACAGCTAGCGGGTGGACCCTCGTGGCTTCCAGGGGCGCGCGGGTCGCGTTGGAGGACATGGGCGACAAGTATGCTGCTCTGCGGCGGGCCCAGCTGCATCTGGATTTCATCCACGCCAACTCGTGAGTGTCCGTAGCGCCCGAGCTGGGGAGGGTCTCACGGAGAAAAGTTTGGTGTATCGACTCGCGAAATACGTGAACTTGGTACCATTGACTTAGGAAAATATTTAAAGTTGTCTATGCTTTAAAATTTAAAAAAAAACCGATAAAAATGATAAAGATATATATTCTGAACCAGACTGTCCCCCTCCCTGCCCTCTTTTCCCCATTAACGTTAAGTGGTAGGCAGGCCTACATTGAACATTTAACAAAACCATGTAGTGGAAGCCGGCAGAACCCTCATTCCACCGAGGTTGCCCGTTTCTAGCGATTTCTCTACCCGATGTCCTGACATTTTAAAGATTAAAAGTTGCCTCCAGAGAGTAATTTGTATGTATTCATTCCAGCCTCTGTGGCCTCCAGGGTCTTTGCAAAACTGTGACCTCTCTGAGGATAGAGTTCGCACATTCTGGTTAGTAGGAGGGTGCTCTCACTCCTGCCAGGCCCAGGTGCCTCCTGGCTGCTGAAGAGGCGTCATTCCAGATGCTCAGGGTGCAGAGGAAGAGGACAGGGTTTTGTATTGCCTCTGGCACTTCCCACGCAGCAGAGCAGAGCAGTGAGGGCTGTGTCATTCACAGTCCTGGGCTGTTTGGGGGGACCTTTTAGTAATTTGGATTTGCTAAAAGAACTGATTGATATGAGGCAGCAATTTTCAACCCTTTTCATCTGCTGGCACACATAAACTAATTACTAAAATTCTGTGGTCCACCGAAAAATATTTTCTATTTTTTGCCGATATGACCAAAAACTAGGTATCATTTTGACTTATTTACACCAGATGGCTATTGCTGTGTTAGCTGTTGTAATTTTTGAATATGACAGTCTAAGGGAAAAGAGGTCATTACCCTTGACTGGTCTGGTATTTCATGTTTTAAAAATTCTTGTGGCACACTGGTTGAAAATCGCTGATGTAAGGGATGCACCAGGTTTGAAACCACAGAAAAGTGTAAAGAGAACCAGGGAAAGCCAGCCTTGCTGTGTGGGACAGTGCAAGTTTTACAGAAAATACCAGTAAAACAGGCAATATTCAGCAGATATTTAGTTTTTATTTCTCTACCATGGAAAATAATTTCAAGCTGGAAAGGATGGGACAGTTAAGTAAAAGTCAACAGGGGTGGAAGACAGATGAAGAAACAGCAGTGTTGAGTTGCGTCTTACAAAAATCATATGCCCAGTGCCGGAGGGACTGAATCTTATCCTGGGCAGTTTCCTGAGCCTCAGTTTTGTAAAATGTCTGCAGATCCTGCTTCCCAGCCCCCTCCTCCCCCAAACCGCCCCATTGTCAGTTGGTGGTCTGGTAACTGAGTAACGAAAGTGACAGCAGCACAGAAGCAGCAGGAACAAAATCAGATACAAGTTGTCATTTTCTCAGCTCCCGAGGCAGAGTGTGTCTGAGGCTTCCCTCCGCGAGAGCAGGAGCGACTGCGTGTTTCTGCGGCGCTTCCCCTGCCCTGCGCAGCCCCCCTCGAGGCCCCTGCCCTGCGCAGCCCCCCTCGAGGCCCCTGCCCTGCGCAGCCCCCCTCGAGGCCCCTGCCCTGCGCAGCCCCCCTCGAGGCCCCTGCCCTGCGCAGCCCCCCTCGAGGCCCCTTCACATCCTCGAGGCCCCTTCAGCCGTCCCTAACCAGGTCTCGGTTTCATCTGTCCCTCTCCACCTCCGCCACCATCGGCTCCTCCAAACCACTGCCCCTCCGGTCTGGGCTCCCCCTCAAGCCTCTAAACTGGGTCCCCGCTTCCTGTTCTTGCCCCCAAATGGTCCGTTTTCCTGAAGCTGTCAGGGTGAGCCCTTTAAAAAGTAAACCAGCTGTGCCGCTGTCCTTAAAACACTGCGGGGTTTCCAGGTGCGTGAACCGCGCCCAGGCTCCTAACCGTGACCGGGCCCGCCCCTCAAGGGGACCTCCCGTCTCCCCAGGGCAGAGCGACGGGCCCCCTCGGCTCTTTCTGCTTCGAGGCCTTTGCAGCGCCCGCTCTCGCTGCAGTTTCCCCTTTGGCTCTGCAAAGGGCCGAGCCCCCTCACCCTGCAGGGCTGTTGAAATGCTTTCTGTGCAGAGGGTCTCTCGCTGGCCGCCAGGCCCCCTCCTCGCCGGTTCCTCTCCCCCGCCTGCCTTCCTTCCCGGCACCTAATCACGAGGCCTCACCACCCTCATGTGCTTGCTGACTTGGGTATTTTCCATACCCCCACGAGCTCGAGCCCGCAAAAGGTAAAGCCCATGTCCCTCGGCATTGGTACATGGCAGGCAGACAGTACAATCTCTTGAGTGAATTAGTGCAGAAACTTGTATGTGATTTTTTTTTTTTTTTTTTTGAATGATTGCAATGACTTTCCTGAAGGATTGGTTGAATTTCTGTATATTGAATCATCTGTTTTAAATTCACTAGAAAGGCTTGTGGTTTAAATGCTGCTTTTGTAAAGCACATTATCTATACACTTCGCCTTTGCTATTTATTTTATTTTATTTTTTTATATCTTGCTCTTTTTAGATTTTCATATACTAGCTTTCTTTCGCGAGAACACTTTTTTGCAAAAATAATATCTAATAGTTTTTTTTAAATTGCAAAGCTTGAAAACTGACTTGAGTCAAGTAAGAGCACCCTTATCAGCATGTGTTTAAAGTTTGAAATTCCAAAAAAATGGATGTACGTATATATATTTTGAAAAATAAATTTTCAGCTACCGTATTGTCCTGTGGCTTGAGCTGTTTGGCGTCTCTGAGACACTGCAGATGACCTTTCCTTCTGTACACATGAGCAGATGTTTTTAATAAATGGTGTTTATTGCTTTTGCTCCATTTACTAAATATAAAAAGAAAACTGCATAGTGAATCTTCCCTTAATGCTGATTGAAATATGCACATCAGGAAATGAATAGCAAGTGTGAGACCCCAAGGCATCCTGATTTCACCCACAGAGTGTATATGGTGATGGTTATTGAGTGTGATGTTATCCAGGACCTGGCACGAGTGAGTATAGAACAGAGTGACGGCAGGTAATTAATGAGATTATTTAAGGAGCAGACTTTTCAGAGGTGAAAGATTCTACAGAAAAATGTAGATTAGTGGGGCAAACGGGTCTCCCATCAGTGCCTGTGTCTGCATATGGAGTCTGAAGACCTTTTAGTGGGGCTGGTTTTTTATCAGGAGTTTTCAGAAATAATCTGGCCTTCAAAAATGTTTTAATGAAAAAATATTTGAAAAAACTTGAACAAATGCTAACAAAGCAATTTAAAACATCAGCATTTGCTCTAAGCACAGTAAGGCCTGTGAAGTCTTTGTTGCATTAGGAGTAGACAGGATGTTTCGGCAATGGTGTTCTTAGCCCTGGCTTTGTAATGAAGTCATCTACTTCAGAATCTGGATGGTGCTGAGGAAGTTGCTTCTAGAATAGCTTCTTAATTGATTATCTGTCTAGACCTGGAGAGCATTAGTCTGCAACTTTTTTGAACCTTTTGCACTGGTTCCAGAGTTAATTTAACTTTTGGTTTTCTCTCTATTTCTTCATCAGCACCACACACAGTTTCCTTTTTGGAGCACTGGCTGAATTGCTGGACAATGCAAGGTAAGGCTCATCGGTGAACAAAGGTTGTTGTGGGAACCTTCCACAGATCCAGTCTTGTTATATTTAAAGATGAAAAAATAATGTCTTTTCCCCCACCTGCAATATTTTGTGAATTGATTTGCTATAAATCAGCAATATTTTGTGAATTGATTTGCTATGAAAACGAAGTATTATAATAAAAAGAACAGGTGAGAGGAAGAATTATTCATCTTTATTCAGTTTGTATTTATGATCAAACTTGAAGTGGAGGTAAATTGGATGTTTGTTTCTATATACTAGCTTTAATAATCATGTAGCAGCAGATAGTCATTTGGATGTTTTTGAGTTACATATCAAATATGCTGTGTCTTGAGAACTTAGATTTGAGTTTGGGCATTTGTTGAAGTCTGCATCAAAGTGAATTGCATAGTTAAGGAGAAAAGAGCTAACTTGCTGATCTCCTAGTATGTGTCAGACCCTGTTCTACGCACCTTATAGGTGGGTATTAGCTCATTCATCTTTATAGCAGCACGTTAAGGTGGTTGTAATTATACCAATTCTACAGATGTGGAAGTTGATGCTCAGAGAGGTTAGATGACTTAATCAGGAACCTACAACTGATGTTTGGCAGAACTGGAATTCAAATTTAGTCTGTCTGGCTACAGAACTCCCCTACCCCATTCTACTGTCTCTGATAAAGGCACTGATGTTTAAAGAAGTCTCTTTAACAATTTAAGGCTCACTTAAGTGTATTTGTGGGGGCTTGTGAGTTTTTCAACTAATCAAATATGGCCCTGGATTTGTTTTGTATTTGTGTTTTCCTATAACAGAAGATTTTACCTCCCTTTTCTGCAGAAAGCAGCCTACCCAGGAAGCAGTAGGCGGTTGTTAGATCAGGGAACTGGGCAGGGAGACCTAAATTCCCTGCCATGGATAAATGGATTTCAGCTTTTTACATTTGGCCCCCATTTTTGACCTAAGAAGGGAGATGACTGTGTGTGAATGCAGGATGTAGTCAGTTAACTAGCCATCCAGAACTTTCTGCACAGCAGTGCCCAGTACTAAGTAAAAAGTCACTAGTTCCCCCTTATAGGAGATTCTCTCTCTGTAGAACTAGTGGCATCACAGTTATCACAGAAAGGGAGGGGAGAAGAGAAAAGGAATAAAGTTCATTGGTTAGGAGAGCCCCAAACTCAGCTTAGAAGGAGCAAACAGGGATAGGTCAGGACTCAAGGACATTCATGGTGAGTGTCTCTTCAGGATTTCAGGGTTGCTAGCGTCTGCTTTGGCCAACGGCTCTGAAGCAGGGCCCCTTTGGTGTCCCTTAGTCCTTCCTCCCACTGAATGTCCATTTTCAGCAGCTTAGTATCTGTAACTCTGAATGAACAGGTCTCAACCTTGACATTTGTTTCTCCGAGAGTATACAGTCTATTTTGCCAACTGTCTTCTCCTCTGAAGTTGTTTCACTCATTCATTCAGCAGTGGAGGGCAGGTAAAGTCAGGATGCAGAAGAAATAGAACAAGGGGAACAGTTTATGCAGCAGATGGTGATTGGCAAAGGAAGACTGAGTTCAGATTCAGGGCAGTGAGAGAGATGTGATCAATAAAGCAATTCTTAGAGCAGCATTTGTAACCTGGCAGCCCCTGACCAAGTCCGGCCTGTCTCATGTTTGTTTGATTCATAGTGAAAGTTCACAGTGTTTGTAAAGAAAAGGAAGAAGTGAAGGAATTGTTTGTAAAATTTAAGAAACAGGAGGTGCCATATAAAAATCTGGATCCTGCACATTTGTTTTTGTTTGTTTTAAAGATTAGAAATAGCAGCCTTGAGACCACATCCTCAAGGGATCAGGTGTGTAGCAAGTGCTCTCTTGGGACCAGCCTGTGCCTTCAGCTTGGCCATTGCTGAGGGCCCTGCATCCAGCCTGAACGCCTCAGTTCCTCTGCTCTCGGTGGATGCTTCACTTTGCCACCACTGCCTACATGCTAGTCTTTGACATCAAGTGAGCTGTTTAACTTAGCCAAGTTGCTTGGTTTGTCTCACAAGGAAGGTCTTCATATAGTCCTGTGTTATTCTAAAAAACTATTTTATAGTATTTTATTTAAGATTTTGATGATTTCCTGTAGTTTTCAAAACTTGAACTGGAAGGTAGTAAAGGAATGCTGTAAAAAGAAAAGGAAATTATGTGGCTGTACAGGAAGGCATGTTAGGAGCCTCTGCCAAATACAATAGCTGTTCAGAGAGAAATTTACCTGGGCTAAATTACAAAGTCTATTATAAAATGTCTTAATGTGCTGTAAAGGTGAATTATTGTTCTGTGCCTTATACCCATGGAATTTCTGTATGAGAAAAGTTTCTTTGAAAACTTTCATTTCAGTACAGGGGCATTTATTGAGCACCTATTGTGTACATGGTACTCTGTATAATGTATAATTATATAATGGAAATAATGATACCTATGTATCATGTGACTGTGGTAAAAATGAAGAAGAGAGTCCTTCTAATAGTCAAAGTAAAAATAGATCAAAATACTTCATTCAGTGCTTACCTGACACACAGAGAATGCTCCAGAAATGGCAGTGGTAATAACACCAGCATTTCTGTATAGGGGGAGCTTAGAAGATTCAGTTGGTTAGACGAAGGCGCTACGGGGTTAAGTTTGAAACTAGGCATGTAGAGCAAGTATGTGCACATATTCAGATTATTTGGGTTGGGAATGGTGGGAATTTGGGGAGAGACTCAGATTTTCCCGTCACACTCTGACTGCTGTTTTTATTACTCTGAGCTTCCTTCTAGACTCTTTCCCTCAACATACGTTCTTCTGCCTCTAAGACCTTGTTCCCCATTGTCTTTGTCCTTTCTCTCGCACCCTTGATGTTGAAGCCAGGATCTTCTTGGCTTTTCCTCCTTCCCTTTTTAAACTTTTACTTCAAAAATACACAAATAATGCCTGTGAATTGTAGAAAATTAAGAAAAAAAGAAAAGAAAACCTCACTCAGCAATCTTATCACATAGAGTGTGTGTGTGTAGGGGGGTCAGCACACTTCTCTGTAGAGGGCCAGGTAAGAAATAGTCTCACCTTTGCGTGCCACGCGTTCTCTGCTGGAACTACTCACCTCTGCCATTGCAGTGTGAAGGCGGCCATAGACAATATGTAGGTGAATGGGCCTGATTGTGTTCCAATAAAACTTTATTTACAAAAACACTTGGAGGGCCAGATTTGGCCAATGGGCTATATGGTATTCCCAGCCTCTGACCTAGAGAAAACCACTGTTAACATTTTGATTTCTTTCATTACAGATACACACATGTACACTACATATGTTCTTAAAAATGTATTCATGCAGTACATCATTGCTTAGGAATTTCGTTTTTCTTTTCACCTTTTTTAAAACCAAAATATATCATGAAAACCTTTCTCTGACTTCTGGATTATTCTCCAGTTTTTTAAAAAAGTACTCATATCTATTTTGTTGAGTTTTGTTTGTTTTTTGTGAAACTACCATTAATTCCATCGCTTCTTTTAAATTTCTGAGTTTCAGGCTTTGTACCATTCTCAAATCATAAGTGTTGGTTTATGATGACTTAGTAAACGCAGAGTGAAACACTTTAGTAATTAAGTTGTTCCTGAGGCGATTTAAGTGGATTTTTTTTAAACCACACAAGCTCCAGGTGGGACGGGCCCCGGGAGAGGCGAAGCTTTGGGGAGAGCAGCCCGGCCTCCCCGACTTCTCAAGGGCCGACCCCCGCAGACCCAGGGCGGCTGGGCGCCCCCAGGGCCTTGGCGCTGGGTGCCTGGGAAGGTGGGAGCAAACGGTGGCGTGGGGGACAGGCCCGGGGGTGGCCTCGGCGCCCCCACGCCCTCGGCGCCCGCGTTGGCTCCGGAGGCACACCCAGGGCTCGCGGCTGTGGCACC